GGAAACGGCGGCCCGGATCACTTCTGCATGACAATTGACGGGAGGGAGGGCGCGAGGCGAGGAGGGAGGAAGGCTGCGGTGTCCGTTTTCTCACCATGGTGATTAGGCATTCCGGCCGTGCGAGGAGGCAGCCGCCGAACAGAGCGGCGCGGCGTGGAGCGAGGGCAGGGGAAGAGAGCGCGAGCGAGCGAGAGCGAGCCCAGCCGCCGGGCGAGCGGCGCGCCGCGCCGAGCCGAGCCAAGCCAGGCCAGATGGCTCTGCAGCCATCAGGGACCGCTCCCGTCCAGCCCGGCCCCACTTTAGCTGTGCAAACATTTCTTTATCCCAACAAGACAATTAAACCCAGCAGCATGAAAAGGAGTCTCCATGACTGTGTTGGGAGTGAACAACCAGAAACAACCACACACATCACAGGAGTTCTTGCCCCCGGGGAGAGGGAGAGGGGGAGGAGAACAGAGGCTTGAAGAACCCCCTAGCAGCTGAGTGAGAATCGGGCTAGGTCTGGCAGTCAGGACACAGGAACCATCTGACCCATCTCCTTTGATAGGTTTGGTGACCCCTGCACGGTGGTCATGTGCACCAGCTACAATCCAGAGGTGGAGCATGGGGACCTGGGAGCTGCCCCCAAGGACTCTCCTCTGCAAGAACAAATCTCCTAAAAGCCCAGATCTAAGGAAGGCCGGCCCACCCCAGTCCCAGAGCCCTCTGAAAGTATCCACCCCAATACCACCCTGTGATGTCAGCCCGCCCTCCCATTTCAGGCTGCCCTGGCTCAGGTGGGCCCAGCTTATCTGATTGTTAGGACATAGGCTCTTCAATGATGCACGCCTTTACACAGACACATCTCAGAGTACAGAATACCATGTGCTACTCAAGGCGCTGGGGACCTGAGAATGACTTTTCAAATATAGCAGAGACAAGACCAAAGCAGAACATTCAGGAGCTGCTGTGAGCCATCAGGTTTCCTGCCTTCCTGGGAATCCCCCTGACCACAGGGAGGGGCCAAAGAATGAGGACCATTCTCCACCACTCTTTGGTGCCCAGGGCCCATCCAGGGTCAGCCAGAAGGGAGGCTCAGTCATGGCTACATGCCGCAGCTCTAGGCCGCTCAGCCTGGGGTGAACAAGCACACTAGCCAATTCCAGTCTAGGCTCAACAGGCTCGCCAGAGACTGTGGCACCCAACAGGAATCCGGACACGGGGTGGTCTAGAGAGAACCATCAGGAGATGCCTGTGATAGGAGCCAGAGTGCTAGCATAGATTAATCTAAATGCATAGATTCTAGCACGAGGCAGCAGACAATACTTATCCTCCCTTTTGTTGTAAAGTTTCCTTAATGAGGAAATGTTTATTTTAAAGGCCCTGGGAAACATATTTGCAGACACTTCATATGTAAGACACACGTGGACTATTCGTAATTGGCTCATAAATTTCAGCATCATTTCCCTGGACAAGGGGCCTTGGGGACTGGTTCAAGGAGTGACAATAAACAGGAGTTACCTCAGTCCCCTTCCTGGGGAATTATGCATCCTCCATGAACGGCTTCTCACAAAACACTTCTCCCATTTTCCAGGGCAAATAAGTCAGTCCTGTAGAGTAAAGGCTTCTTTATTCCATAGAGCCCAACACCTACCTCAGGAATCACCTGTGACACCAGGTGAGTGGCCAGGCAAGCAAGTCAGCATTATCTACTGGGACAGGCAATACTTTACCCAAATGCCTAGATCTGTTTCTACCAAAAGAATGGATATTTCATCACAAAAGAAATCCTGCCTATCAGTACCCAGATTTAAGAGAAGAACACATGTGCATTACACCATGTCTGCAGGCCCCTTTTAAATGCGCTTGCATGGGGACATATCTACATATGGATACAGTGTGTGCATAGGGGGTGGCTGCCACAGTAAAATCTGTCAGTGTTTCCATTATAAAACTGATTTTTTCAATGACCTACAACCCAGTCATAAAATTTCTCTAAGGGACACACACACACCCATAACCTCCCCCCTCCAACAAAACACTAAATGCTTGCTTAGGAGTTTTACTTCTACATTTAACTGAAACTCTTTATATATACATATAATGAAAAAGTATTTTCTCGATATGAACAGAACTGAGAAATGAGTCAACCAGATCAAAAATGACCTGTAAGTTTTAAGAATAAAAAAACTGAAATACACATGGTTAATTTTGGCAATCTGGGCAGAAGCCACTGTGTCCTATTACTTCACTCTTTTGGAGGCTTTCTGTCCTCCCTCTTCTCACCTCCTTACCACCACCACCCCATCTGCCCCTGAAGCTCTCTCTCCCTTTGGAAGCAGCCTTGTATAGTGTCACTCGATTATCTGAGAAATATTACTTATTTCAAAACGGTTCTGTAGGGAGGACCTGAAAGGCATCTAGTGGGAATAATCAGGCCTTCTAAGGGCCCTTAAATATGTATTTACATAAAACAGACCATAAATATTCCGACACACGTCGGCGTATGACGGGAGCCAAGAAAGCTGCTGCCGACTTTGTCACAGTGCCTCTTCGACCCTTCCCTACAGAAAAATGTTCCTCCTGCTTTCCAAAAACTCAAAAGCAAAAGCAAAAATGCTGCCCAGTACAGCCCGGCGAAGGCTGCTACGGCACCCAAGGAGAGGAAAGTAAAAAAGAGCACAGATCTGGGGTTACCACAGGGCAACAATCTCCTATTCACTTTGTAGCCTTACTTTTTGTTAAAAGACCAGACTCAAATGTAACTCTAGGAAAATATGGTGTACAAACATTCTGCACTCACAGACACTCCTCCAGGTCTAAAAAGGAGTACATGAAGTACCCTAAAGGAAGATACTTGGAACAAATAAAAGGGGGAAGGACTTCAATTTCCACAACACTCCAGTTCGAAATAAAGAAGTTTTCCCCACCCTTCTGATCAGAATCCCATTAATTTCAAGGTCAGAATTCCATTTCACTTTGGGAGGCAGACTCATTTAATTTTTCTCCACCCAGGCGTACTCCTGTGTGAGGGATCCGTCTCCATGGGGGATGACACCACCACACAAAGCAAACCAGGCAAACAGAAGAGTTATGGCTTTGACACTCGGAGGGGAATGGAGAGCTACATCCATGAGTTCTGACTTGACTAAGCTTCCTCCTGCTCTGGGAGCCTGATACAGGTTTGGGCTAAAAAGATGGGAAAAGGGAGACAAGCTAGATCTGTGAGGTGAGAAAAAAGGAATCTTGATTTCCAGATGTTACTTTGTGGTATATGAGTTTTGAGAGGATTTCATTTTTAACTTAGAAGGAAAAAAGGGAGTGGGGGGGTAGAGGGGAGGCAGAATCTGTCACACCCTGACACCCCACCCCACCCCTCGGCAGTTTTAGCCAGAGGTCAGATTACAACTACCCCAGATCACTTGCACATCACTTGACAAATAAAAGCTAAAATAAAATAAAACGGACCAACACAACACCAATACCTGTTAAGCAGGGATATCCAAGCACAGGATCATCATACAC